GCTGTGTCTGGTTAACTCCTGCTGGTAGCTTCCTTCTCTCCTGCCTGCAGTCTCCGCTGTTACATCTCTCATCCTTTGCTGGGTCTCAGAATGGGGTTCCGTTAACTAGGACAAAAGCGCAGCTCTCTTCCTCTGGAGAGCACCTTAGCCCAGGGCCACCTTCACCAGTGAACTCCTCTCCAGGGCCTCAAAGTAGCTGTAAACCCATCGCTCCTGGCTGGTTAAATGAGGCTTCTTTGATCACTGGAGTGGCCCAAAGTAGTCAGAGCATATAGGTGACCCTGGCCCAGCGTCTCCACTGGGCTGTGGGACTTGCCTGGGAGGCGGTGAGGGCAGAGGGGTGGGGTGAAAAAAGGGAGACCTCAGCTAAGCCAAGTCCTAGTGGGGAGATCTAACAGACTGAGGACTGGGCTCCTAAGGGGATCAGGCCACTTGCAGGAGTCTTTCAGGGCCTGATCCTGTGAGGTGCCCTCAGCTCTTTGGAGAGACCCGAGGGGAATGGTGACGTTGGTTGGCCTGGACAAAGCCCTGCGCTAGCCCCTGCAGGATGGACTCTACAAAGGCCCGTTCCACCTCTAATTTCTATGAACCCGCACTGGACTCACCAGGAGCTTTGCTTATGTGGGAACTGAGGAGAACCTCACTCTGAATGACACCAATGGGAATTTTGGGAGGGGAACAGAATCGGGCCTTAAGAGCTGCAGTATTTGGTCCAGTAACAACCTTCCCTTTCCTGTGCTTCCCCAGTTAATGCTGATTTCATAGCACGTGTGGCTAAGCCCCCTCGTGCTCTCAGAATGCAGCCTGGCCCTCAATATGTCTGTTACGTAAAGACAGATTAAAAGACTGGACCTTTCCAAAAAATCTTACCTGTAAGCACACATGGCCCCTGCACAGGAGATGCACTGAAGACAGCAGCACTTTTACTACGAGCCCTGCAGAGCATTCTTTCATGGCTAGCCGCCTTTTCCCCCTTGAAGAGTGCTTTGAAAAGTGACTCCACAGAAATTTTCTACTCCACAGATCCACTCCCTGTCCATATTCAGAGGGAGGTCCGCTCACTCTGATGACACACTAAGGTTCAGTTTCACATAGGTACGTTGGTGGCTAACTCCCATATTTCAATACGAGTTAGGATCCTAAATACCTCTGGGGATCTGGGCCTAAGACTCCAGTCCTGCAAACTCTCACTGCTACGCTCCTGTTAACTCTGGGACAGTGAGATGGTATCATCAACTAGTCTGGCATCAGCAACAGAAATGCAAACTGAGTTCCCACGGCTATGCCAAACTCAGCTCTCAGAAATACCAGAGGGCGGAAAGGGTCAAGCTGGGTCAGAACGGCAAAGTCTGTGACGACTAAACAAACTCCCCTCCAGAACCTGGAATGGAACCCAAGATTCCTGAGTCTCCACTATTCCTCTGCTGGCAGCAAACCGCTGCGAAACCAGGTGGCAAAGGGTGTGCCCCATCCCCCATAGTGGAGGACAACCTACTGCTGCCGTCGGTTAGTCCGTTAGCTCAAGTGGCAAAGGACTGTGCCGTGCATCTGATTATATCCCTGCTGATTACCCATCTAGGGAGCCGTATGATTTCACACGATGCCATTTGCTGTTTCAAAAACCTAGGAAATTATACACACAACATCCTCCTCGGGGGATTCTGCACGACTGCACGCCCACAGAACTCCGCAGAATTCCCGTGCTTCCCTGTCGAAAATGGCAGGGAAGCAAAGGGAAGCCACGGTGGGGGGGGGGGGGCGACCATGGGTGCAGTTTGGGGGGGGGATTGCCCCACCCAAACAGAGGTGAGGCATGGGGGGGGCGC